TCACCTATGTTTTCCAAACCTCTATTTAGAAATTCAAAAGGCCCTTAGAAAACATCCTTAAACCAAAGCTCAAGTTGGCAAATGAAACCGTTTACCTGGCAGAGCAAAACAAAGAGGGGTCCTCGCAGTGCCTGCAGGCACATTGCTAAGTGGCACGCGATGTACCCCATCCCCATTGTGAGGCACAAATTCTTTGTGACACTGGGAGACACCGCAGAACAAAAATACTATTAGAAATGCTTCAAAAGGAACATTTTTGGCTGCGATAGAGACTTTTGACATTATTTATTAGGTTCAAAACTACTTCACAAAAGCCTAACAATGGTTCTGTGGAAACCAGTACATCTGAGGCCCTTTCTGTTGTTCTGGGCAGGCATTGATTTGAAGATGGGCCGCCCTCACGGAACAATTCCCTCGCAGCGGTCAATATAAGTGAGCATTCACCCTCAGCCTAGGAGGGGCCTGTGAACAAACCGTATGGAAACGCTGCGGTGGACGGGAGGGGGGATAAGAGCAAGTCACGATTAACCTCTTTGTGGGGAGATGGGTGGGAGACCCGGCAAGCTGAAGAAGGGGCGCTCCTGCCAGACTGTCATGGGGGGAGGCGTCTGCCCTGGGCTCCTTTTTCCCCAGGGGATGAAGATGCTTGGGGAGCATCTCCGGTGTCATGGCAACTGTGTCTCTTCCGACTGGATTTCCGGGCACACCCTGGAGCCTGCTTTGGGAATCTGGGTTTGCCAGAGCGTCTGCTGTGGCTGCCATCCTCTCCTCCAGCATGGTGTCTGAGGAACTCCAGGAGACTCTCATAGGGGCCCAGGGGGTCTGGCTTCTCCCGCAGAGACCAATGGCAGTGGAAGGCCTCTCAGTGGTACCTGGAGGGCAAAGAAGGGTAGGAGGAGTGGCCCTGAAGTGTGAGGAATTGACTTGCCCGCTGGGACTTTTTTTTTTTTTTTTTAAATATCTTCTCATAACTGAATGTTTTAGAAAGCGACATTTGCAATGTAATGTTCTGTGTGGGGAAAATCTCTTGACATTATCTTCACGTGCTCCCTTACATTCTTTAAGAGGACAAAATGCTATCTGTTTCTTTCCTATTGTTTGAAAGCACCCCCTCCAATTAATTTTTACAGAATCCTCATATAACTTTCATTTCAAGGAAAACTGTTCAAAACTTTGAAACACTGGGAACCAGAAGAATTGGTAACTAAATAGGGCTTCATATTCTATCTTTGGGGAAAGTTTGTGAATGGAAAGTTATCAAGTGGAGTTAGATATCATACAAAACAAATGGATCCACGGCCCATTTAAACTTACAACTAATAATTAAAAAATCCAAGAGGCAATTACTTCATGAGTTTTATGAGGAATTTCAAAGCAGCTGAAGATGAAAACAATTAGTGAAGTAATCTGATGCCTGGTCTATATGACACACATACACACTAATTATAATAGATTTAATTTTTTTCTTTGTCCAACCAAATAATTTTTTCATGTAAAAGGTGAGGTATTTTTTACAATGCAGTCAACACTGTAACAGAATATACATGCATATATACATATGTATTTCACCTGTGTTTTCTTATATATACATACATATATAATGTGTGTATGTATATATCATAAATATACTATCTTAAAGTTTTAACCTGAGAAATTCTACCCATTTACTTACACAAATTAAGTCTAATTCTTCAATTGTTAACTAAGATAATTTACATGCTTTAAATCACTTCTTACAAAAGTTTTTAAATGGCTTTGAATAGAATGTAGAGGTCTAGAATATTTGGAACAACCTACAGGATAATTTGCAAATTCAAAAAATATGTAAAAGATTTAGAATGCATATTACCCTCCTAAGAGTGGGTGTCAAATAGCCAGTCTATCTCTAGGTGACTCACTTTAGTCCACCACATACTGTTCATTCTATGCCTGATATGTACTGAGCATCTCCCACTCAACATATCCAGTCAAAGAGTGAAAATTTTTTAGTAAATCCGATTTCTCCAATGTGAGAACTATTTCCTGGAAATAAAGATGAAATGGCCTTTCAATATCTCCAGGTAAATAAAAGCTTTCAGAGAGCAAACACATTGCCTTTTGAAAAATAGATGCTTAATAGCTGTTTGTTGATTTCCAGCCTTGGCAGATGACCCATTCATTGTCATCAATAATCAATGCAAGAAGATTCCACCAAAGAACATGGATGTGGCTCTGGAATTTGGAGCAACAGAATATGACCTAGATGGAATATGCTGTCTTCTGTCTTGAATCGAAAATCAGAATTCCCTCTCTGAATACATTTTGGTAATGATGCATTTTGTAACAAACTGTCTTAGAGGGGTAGTGTGGTGGAATGGAATAAACAAGGTTTGGGGGTCAAACCATCATAGATTTCAAATGCTGACATATGACCTGGCCTAAGCTTCTTTGTCTGTACCTGAAACATGAAGATTGTTTTACCTACTGTGCAGGATTGCTAATGGAATTAAGTTTGCTTATTCATTTATTCATTCATTAATATTTGAGTGTCTGTTATGTGCCTGGCAGTATTCTAGACAGAATAGAGTGGGCAATATCCCTGTATTTATAGAGCTTCCATTGTAGTTGTAGGGAGAGGGAATGGGGAAGGAAAATAGACTATTAAATAAACAAATGAAGAACTGTGCAAGTGTCAGCTGGTGGTGAATCCTAAAGGGAAAGGTAAATCAGGAAAGGTTAGGAAAGATCCACAAAAGTGATATCTCAGTAAAGACTTGAAGGCAATGAAAAAGTGAACTAGTTAAGTATCTGAGGAGAGAACATGACAAAATGTAAAGCATCTAGGATATAGTAAGTGCTCAATACCCAAGAGATGCTATTGTTATATTTAGATTCTCAATGTAGGAGTGCTCTGACCTGGAGTCAGATTGGAGGGTTTGAAACCTGGCTCCAGCCCTAAAAGTTGCAGAATCTCTACGGGCTTCCAATTATGTATTTAAACCACAGGAAAATAAAAATTCTTAGAGAATGGACATATGAATCGAAACTGAAGGTATATGTTCAGATTTTTAGCACATTGCTTTTTATATAATAAGAATAAAAAAATGATAACCAACCAGCATCCTCAGCATCCCACCCTCAAGCCTAGCTTTCCAGAAATGAAGGAATCTCTGTATCAGCATCTTTAATAGACAATATCTCAGCCGTACTTTAACACTTCTGGCCCACAAGCAGTATACTCTCCTCTAGTTCAAAGAAAGTTCCTCTTTTTATTGAGTCCAACTATGTCTTTTTCTGCTATTGATCAATTCCAACAAACTAGATATATTTGGAGAAAAATCCAACAAAAAATTCCCTAAAAAAAAAGGCCACATAAAGGCAATCTGATCCTATTTAATCCTTTTTATATATGACAGTTCCTAGACTACTTGGAGATAAGCATTGTTTCCTGACATTTTCTCTCCTCCAGTCTGAACATCAGCACCATAAACACCACCACCATCATCACCACTGCCATTCAGTCTCTGCTATATTCAGGGAAACTTATTTATATTAATCCTCTAATTACAATATTTCTCCAAGGCAGAAAGTATTGTTCGTTCATAGATGAAAATACTGGGCTCAAAGACCATTTGTGGAACTTGATCATGGCTATAGAACTGAAACAAAAAAAAGCAGAGATTTGAGCATGGATCTCCTTGGTTCCAAAGCTCATTCTCTCTGGTCCATCTCCTTACATTTAATCATTCCTCTTATTAGTAATTTTGAGATACTTCATTATCATATACCTTATGTTGCGCTATGAATTCACAGCTTTCTCATCTTTAAAATGGGAATCATCACATTATCTGCCTAAGAATATTTGTTAAATGAGGATTTCATAAAATAATGTGAAATGCTCAGCACAGTGTCTGCCATAGGATGAGAGCCTAATAAATGGGGACTGGAATGATGATGGTAACAATGATTATCAATATCATTATTATCTGGGGCAACACCTGAATCATCAAACTATTCATTATCAACTCACACTTGTTCTGTCCTCCAATACAACACTTAGCAACAAGTAGACTTCCATGAAGGACTGTCTAATATGCTTCTTACAGAATCTTCTAGAATAGAACCTACCATTGAGTCAATAATTTTGCTGATTATACTGATATGAAAAATAAAATATGGCCAATTGAAAAGAGAAAAAAAGAATTAGTGAAACTTACCAGGTGGGACAGGATTTCTCTTGGAATTTCGAGAGGGCTGGTTCTGAAGTCTCACGTGTCTAATGAGCTGTGTCCCTGCAGCCTCCAGGCGCAAAGGATACGCTGAGTAAGATGGAATAGGCATTTCTGTCACTGGCTTTTCCAAAACTAGACTGCTCCAGGCCTGCTTGGGTGCTTCTCTGTCTCTCTTATTAATTTCTTGTCTAACGGTGAAGATCAGTGGGTTCTCGTACCATTCGCTGGATGATGTTGTGTGAGAACTGGCTTCTTCATGGTTTTCTTCTTCGAAAGAAGCTCTGCTTACATCAGGAGAGCTGGGGATACTGTACTGGCAAGTATAAAGCAGTTTTTTACATGCCACTGGAGTCTGAATCACTTCTGGAAATACTGTAACAGGTAAATACATCAGTTTGAGAATTTCACTTCAGTATCATCTACTAAATTAGTGACCAAAAGGATGGATTTTTGTTTGGTTCATATTTCTATCTTGAGCAAACAGAAATGATAAACAAGCCAAGGACTGGGGTGACTGAGGGGGAAAAGTAGAGGAGGGAAAAGATGTGGAAAGAGAAGTAAGAGGCTGAGACTGCTTTTGTTGAGTTCAAGCTATGTTGCAGGCTCTGTGTGAGGGCCTGGACATATTGGTCATTTAGTCCTCACAAGAACTGTATCTAACAAATACTATTATCTCCGCTTTAAAGGTCAGGAAGCTAATTTGAGGCTTATGGATTGAATTGTGTCCCCCAAGAAGACAAGCTGAAGTCCTAACTCCTTGCACCTATAAATGTGATCTTATTTGAAAATAGGGTCTTTGCAGATGCAATTAAGTTTACACAAGGTGATTAAGGTGAGGCCTTAATTCAATATGCTAGTGTCCTTAGAAGAAGAGAAAACAGACACAGGCACAGAGGAAGAATGCCATTTAATGACAGAGGCAGAGACTGGAGCAATACATCTACAAGCCAAGGGACGCTAAGGATTACAGCAACCACCAGAAGCTATGAGAAAGGCATGAAATGGCTTCTCCCTCAGAACCTCCAGGAGATGCCAACCTTGCTGACACCTGGCCTCCAGACTGTGAAAAATCATTGAATTTTAAGCCATTTAGTTTGTGGTTCTTTGTTACAGCCCTCCTAGGAAACGGATATACTCATAATAGTTCCAATTAACACATGTTATCCCGGAACAATTATTAACAGCAGCCCCTTCACTCAAAATGATAAAAAAAAAAAAAAAAGTATTCAAACTTGGGGTAAGATAAGAAGAAAAGCCAGGAGGTAGGAAGGTATACAATAGGAGGAAGAAGGAAGTTGATTTCTTGAGTTCTACTACATGGTAGAATCTGTGCCAGGATGTAACAACTCTTAACGAGACTCTTATTCCCTGTGCTCAAGGTGCAGTCAAGTGACAAAGAAGATGTTGGCCATGTTAGGTTCCAGGACACACTCCTCCTAAACCACTTCTTGTCTGCAGGAAGAAGAATCAAAGCAAATGCCCCCAGAGGCATTGACGATAATAAAAATAAGAGGAAGGCCAAGTAGGGACACCCTGGGGGTATATGCCCCATCAACAGGGGCCAGCCCCTTTTCAGACCTTGTCTTTTATTGCCATGAGGGAACGCAGGCCCCATGTAGACAGATTTTCTAGGTTTTCGGGAGAAATAGAAATAGTGTGTGTGTGTGTGTGTGTGTGTGTGTGTGTGTGTGTAGGGAGAAAGAGAGAGAGTCCTGACTTTTAAATATTAGTAACTCACTCAATTTGTCTATTTTTTTTTTAATACAGTGTGGGCTACACAAAACACATCTGCTCTCTGAATTACCACAAGTCCATTTGTAGTTTTGGCTTATAAAATTCATATTATCATTCATCTACTTTCATACCATCTCCATCTCAGAACATGACTTTATAAATATTCATCCTGGACCTGTGGGAATGCATTTGCAAGCTCTGTGCATAAGCAGATTTTAGAGCTCTAGAAGTTTCGTCTACCTCCAAAACCTTAGGAAGACTAAGCTCTTCATTTTAATTTTAAATGGTTGCCCCATTTCGTCATGAAGCCCAAAATGCGAAATGGTAGACAAATTTATCAGGCTTTCTCGAATACAGAGAAACATCTAGAATCTTTCAAAACAGCAGCTCTGGGACTTTAGATCTCAAAGGAAAATCTACAACACCAAGACTAATGGCATTTGATCTGCCCTCATTCTATTGTTCAAATATCAAGAATGGGATGCAAGACCTGGTGGCACTTTATACACCTTTACATCCTAGAAGTTATGGATTGAAAGAGTCCTTACCACCCTCATCATCCACTTCTTTTTAAATACCCCCAAGGGTCTGAACCTCACTGCTTCTGCATCAGAGATTTCACTGTTCATCAGAAGAGCAAATAAATAACTTTATATTTGTAATACACAAGGCATATTTAGATAGGTAGATTTAGATAGATAGATAGATAGATGATAGGTAGATAGATAGATTTATAGATGATAGATTGATTGATAGATGATAGATGATAGATAGATAGATAGATAGATAGATAGATAGACAGACAGACAGACAGACAGACAGACAGACAGTAGATAGATAGATGACGATAGATAGATAGACAGACAGACAGACAGTAGATAGATGATAGATTCGATGATGAGAGAGAGAGAATTTAAAAGCCATCTATCTGATATTGAGACAGGTGATGACAATATTTATATATTATTTGACCAATATTTGTTGAGCTTATACCATATACTAGGTACTACTCCAGTGACAAAGTGTTACTTAGGCCAACAGAATCTATCATTTTGAGATTAAATTGACCGGCTGATTGACAGCAAATTGGACTTCAACACAGAAAGCCAGAACTCTCAGTTTCACAGAGCCCTGAATGAATTTCAGGTTTTCTTTGTGATACAACAACCAGGTAGGTTTCCAAACCGAACAGAACCACCAGTTGTTTTGGTGTTAAACAGAGACTGTTGGAAATGGAAGGGCCTTTCGCAATCTCCTATGGCTTCCAGTCTTTTTCTTTTTCAATTTTTCAAATTTATCCACCAAAACAGTGACAGAACTTAAGCCAAAATTCATTGCTCATGATTTGTTAAGTTACACATCTTTGTTAAGTTACACATCTCTTTAAGTCTAATTTGTCATTTCTCAATTCTGCCTACACATTAGCCAATACCTGGCATGCTTTGAAAAATACAGATATGTGGTCCCGGGACCCCAGTAACTGTAGTTTGTAAACCCCTAAGAGATTATAATGTGTAATCTAATTCTCTAATTCAATCATTAGATGAGTGTTATAAACTTTATTCAGTCCAAACAATCATCATGAACATGCTAGAGCCATGAAGTTAGGGATGTCATTCTCAGAGTATTACCACTCTGAGGCCAGCCATCATTTCAGACACCAGCATTATGTGGAACCTTACAACTTGTATATTCCTTTACATTGTAACCGCTTTCATACTAGTAACCACACTGGAGCCTGACAAAAATGTTTCAGTTTATTAATTTTACTGAGAAGGAAACTAGGTCTGAGAGTAAGCATCTTGTTCATACCCTTAATCAAGCATCAGAGAAGCTGGGGTTGGGACCCAGTTCTTAGATTTTGAAAGATTTTTGTTTTTCACTACATAATCAATGCCAGTAGTGCCAGAGGAAATATGGCTTCTGAGATCTGGGCTTGATGAAGGGAAGGATGCAAACAATACCTAAAAAATAGTGGGTATTGACCACCGCCCAGGCACTATCCTATTGTACATGACTTAGCCTGTATAAATGCTATCAACAATACTTTTAATGTAGAAGAAAGGGTACCTTAGGCTGAGTATTCTGTCTGTGGCCCAATTACTGAAATTAGCTCCCAAGAAAGCTCACATTCTAACCGCTCCCCAGGCTACCTCTTCACTTTTTCACTCACTAGTGTAACGGCCCAACTTTTCCCAGCTACTGAGGCACTTGTTTTCTGGTGTTTTGTTTGTTAAAAAAAAAAACACACACAAAAACACGCCAATACTCAAGTTTTGCAATTTCTTTTCATGTGTAGGCAACTTTGTCTCTTATTCTGCAGTGCAGGTCTTCCATCTGTTGCTAATTGCATTTGAAATAATATTGTGGCAGACAGGAGATGTCAAGGTACAATAAAATAAATCTTGGAACTAAATGTATTTTATACAAGCGATTTGCCTTTCTCTTGAGCTGCAAAATAGTTCATGATAAATCATGGCAGATGCTGATTTATTCATTTCTATTCATTAGAAAAAGACAAATATGGTAAATCCTGCACACTCGGCCCCGCTGAGATTCCAGGGAGCATGATGCTACACCCTTTCATACATGTGCCTGCCAGCTATCCCTCAATATAGAACCTCTATGTCTTCGTATTCCCACTCCGTCCCTTCCACTTTCTTGGGCTTCTAACTTCAGTATGTTCATGTTATAAAAAGACCAGAGTCAACTGTCCTAGAAGGAGAAATGAAACCCAAAGACAATTAATTCCCCAAAACCCATTTTACCCTTTATTGTAGGCACAAATAGAGGCTAAAACTAATTGATTTCATCTCCTGTATACCTAAAATCAAACATAAACCTTAAACAGGTCTTCAGTGATAGCTAAAAACTCCAATGATACACTTTTTAAAAGAATCCTTAGACCACATAATGGAATTAATGGAGTCAGTCCCCTCACACTCACTATTTCTCCTAGCTGTGGAATGAGAATTCTTTTTAAACTAACGGAGTTGAGTCCATGCGAGGAGTCTTGGATGCATCAAACCCAGAGCAGTAATGAGCTTAGAGGCCAAGTGCACAAGCTCTGAGTCCCGACTTCTTGGATTAAATCTGTGTTTTACACCTTCCTGGCACTGTTACTCTATGCCAAGCTACTTAAGTGGTCTCTGCCTCAGTTTCCCCATTCATAAAATGGCAACAATAATAACATTTACCACACAGGGCTGAGATGCAGGTTAAATGAGTTAGTAAACAAGGGCTTAGAGCACTACCTAGCGTATAGGAAGTATTCAGCAAATCTTGGCTGTTGTTGTTGAAAATGTTTTTTCCCTTCTCTTCCCGTAATAGCTCCTGAATGGCCTCTTTCAGTGATAAGGATTCAAGTAGAAAATAATATATTTACCATCTATTCAGTTTGCCACATTTTATTCATTCCTTCATACGAACATGTTTATTGAATGCCTACTGTGCACCTTGCCCTGTATTTGGTCCCAGCAGATACAACAGAATAAGGCAAATGTGGTCCATACCATCATAAAGCTTATAGTCTACTGGGGAATATGACATAATGAAAGGGTTACAAATTATAGAGAGTCATTTCAAGGGAGAAACAAGGGGCTGAGACAGACTAACATGAGTGGAGAACTGTGAAGGTA